TGATGCAAAGCCCAAATACATTTAATTGATTGGATATTACTATCTAAGAGCACTTGTTTTCACTGATCAGTATAACTGAGACCACTTATTTATTCTTTATTAATAAAAGGAAAGTTGATATACTCTTTCCAGTCTTGATAAAACTTCTTAGGGACTTGATTTCTGTTGTTTGGTTGACTGAGGTCTCTCCATTCTCACTGATGTTTGTTCATTTTCCAAAGCAGAGAAGTGAATAAAGAGGACATGACTGAGAAGACTTAATATGAGTATGCTTATGGATTATACTGTTTTAGGAGGAAAAGTAAAGATGTATGAATTGTGAAATTCATTTATTTGACGCTTACAACCCCAATGCGTTTGACACCTTCCAGGGCTGGCATGTCATACGTTTTCAGTAAGTAAAGATGCATTTTGAATGCCTGACAGAGGTACAAGGTAAGGAGCTCTTAATGGATAAGGCATTTGGCTGCTAACCAAAAAAAGGCCAGTGATTCAACCCCACCAGCTGCTCTGCAGAAGAAAGATAAGGCAGTCTGCTTCCGTAAAGATTTGCAGCCTTGGTCGCTATGAGTCAGAATCAACTCAGTGGCAGGGAGTTTGGTTTTGGTGTGAGAGGTACAAGGTACATGGGAGTTTAGAGGGGGCAGAGACTAACCCTTAGGTAGAATGGATAAAGCTTTTTGCTTGGCTTTCTACCCTGCTCTACTGAAATCTGCCAGTTCTCCAAAGCAGTACTTTCTCTACTTTCCATTGTCTCATTAGATTCTCCTGGCTAGTGAGCTCCGGACAGAAGAGCATGCCTTAGAGTAACTCCTTCCTTTCAGGGAGATGATTAGTATAATGTGGTCATTATAGTTGGTTCCATGACATAGACACCCACCGTGAAGAGTGTTTGACTTGCTGTTCTTGGGTGATTACTGGTGACATCACAGAATTCTGTTAATACTAGAACTGCTGTGAGAATAAAATGAGACGTGCTTGTAAAGGCACACAAGGGGCCCTGGAATATACGAAATGTGCAGTAATTGTTAACTGGTTTTGTATTTGTCATGGTCATTGTGTGACCTTTGTGGAGCACGTACTTTGGGCTAAGCATCTGACATGCTTTATTTCATTTAATTCTCATAAAGATTGTGAAATGATAATTATGAAAATCCTCGTTTTGCAGATGTGAGAACAGCTCAGAGAGGGTTGGTGGCTTGTTCAAGGTTGGAAAGCTGCTAGGTGGTGGGACTAAAGTCTGAACCCGGTCTTTTTGACTCTAAGCTTGCACTGTCTGGATTCTCACACTACTGACAAATTGTTTAAAAAGACATTAAATATAATGTATAATAAGACAGCATTGGAGATGTGTTAGATGTTGATTTCAAGAAAACCAACTTTTGGGTTGGGTCACTCATATAAAAAGAGCTCCTTAGGGTAAGGCATGGTTAGAGAGGAAGGAAATAAAGTGCATTTTATCTGTGAAAGGTAACTGAAACAATCTCACAAAATAGTGAGTTAAACATGCAAATTAACCGGATGCACTTTGACTGGGCATGGAGTTGGGAGAGAAGATCGGGAGCCTGGCCGAGGTAGTTCTTGCACCGTTACCTGCTCCAGAGACGGGCATCTGGCAGATGTCTGAATTCTGCCTTTGGCTTTGCCTCTCTCTGCAGTGTGGCCAGCCTTGGGTAATTTCCTCTTTGAGCCTCAGCGTTCTCCTGTATAAAAGGAGACAGTGATGGGGGAGGTACTGTGAAGGGCAGAGTACCATTTCTGATTAAAGTATATGCTCAGCCAATTTTAATTCTTTAGCGTATATTTTGCAGAGTAATGTCAGGATACTTAAAACAACAGACCCCAGACAAAACATACCAATTTCCACGGAGCTTTTTGATTCAGCTGTGTGTGGATTTCCAGCTAGATTCCCCTACTTTTGATTCTTTGGTTGTCTGGCAAATGTGTGAAAGGAAACAGCATGCACCTGCCACCGTGGGATACCCAGAAGTCACCTTTGGAGAAAACCAGCGTTTCCAAGAACAAACAAAGACACAAGTTCAAAGAAGAGAGCTCTGTGGTTGGCCAGTTGCCCATCCTGAAGCCGTCATGATGAAAAGGGTTCTGTGATTATTTGGTGAACTGATGAAGTTGCTGTGAAATCAGTTTCTAGAATGCCCCAAATGGTAAGGTTGATGAGGACAGAGGAGAGAGTGGCTATAATGGGCAGGTGAGCATGGGAGTAGGGTCCTACGTGCAGGTTGGTGACAGAGCACCCAGCACCCAGTTCTGCACAGGGGTGGGTGAGGCATCTGCTATCTAGTCTGCAAAGGCCTGCAGTGACCCTGAGTTTGAGGCCCAGTGACCTCATCCTAGCAGCTTCATCCTGCTTTCTGTCACTGACCAAACTCTGGGCCAGGAAGCTCTTCAGCTTCTTGTTGTTGTTGTTATGTGCCATCAAGTCAGACCCGACTCATAGCGACCCCTCCTTGGGTTTCTGAGGCAGTATCACTATGGAAGTAGATTGGCCAACCTTCCTTCCGAGGAGTGGCTGGTGGATTTGAACTGCCAGTTGTCTGGTTAGCAGTCAAGTGTCTTAGGCGCTATGCTACAGAGCTCCCGCTCTTCAGCTTAGGAAATAATATTCCAGATGAGATTTTGCAAAAATCTAAGGCCTTGTAGTTTGTTAAACTGTGTTAAACTCATTTAAAAATGGTTGATGCCTTTTATTTTAGAAACCTTTTAATCTTAAAAACACAGTGTTTTTCGCTTTGGCAAGACTTTCCTGTGAAGGAAATGGAAACATGGTGTGATGCAATGACATTTTACGAGTTGTAAGGGGAGCCAGTAAGAGAGAAAAGAGGAAGGGAAGCGTAAAGTGGCAATTTCTGGTTTACCCAAGGGCCAGTCCCTGGAGTGGTGACCTCAAGAGACAGCCAGCGCTCACAGGTCGTAACACAGCCCCTTTTAATACTTAGACAGGTTTGGGTGTCTGCTAAAAGTAAAACAGCGTGGAGAAGTGAAAACATTAAGTGTTAGATCCCATGGGAAAGTCCTTCTAGATGGCACCTTGAGAGTCTTACGTGAGCGCCGCCTCCAGCGCCGGCCACCACTGCGTGGGCGCCGCCTCCAGCGCCGGCTACTACCTCTTGGGTGCCGCTTCTAGCACCAGCTACGTGACCCATGACCTCTTTAACCTTTAGTTTCCTCCTCTGAATAGTGGTGCTAATACATCCCACAGTTTCTGTGAGGAATAAATAAGTAACATATGTGAAGGTTTTGCAGACTATTAAAATGCTTCACAGATGTTTGTATGTATAGTCTCATTACGTTAACACATTGGTGTTTTATTCTACATCTTTAAGCAAGTGATTGCATTCATAAACTATACTAAAAATACCAAACTCACTGCTGTTGAGTCGAACCGACTCATAGCGACCCCTCCTTGGGTTTCCGAGGCGGTATCACTACAGAAGTAGATTGCCCAACCTTCCTTCTGAACAGTGGCTGGTGGGTTTGAACTGCCAGCCTTCTGGTTAGCAGTCAAATGCCTTAGGCACCACGCCACCAGAGCTCCTAACTGTGGCACATCAAAATCAATTTTCCTATGGATGGGGAGAGCCCTGCTCCAGTGGCAAAAATACAGGCTTGAGGGTTAGGAGAACTCACATTTTATTTCAACTTCTTTCAATGCAGTTTAGAGAGCTACAATCAGGTTTTCTAAAACAGGTGAACCATTCACTGGAAGAAAGGGATGCTGGAAGCTGGGTATATATGAGGAATATGTTGTTAAGATGCCTGTTTAAGATCCTGCTCTGTAGTATTGAAGGGCAGTGGCGGTTCAGTGGTGGAATCCTCAGCTTCCGATGGGGGAGACCCAGGTTCGATTCCTGGCCAGGGCCCCTTGTGTATGGCCACCACCTGTCTGTCAGTGGGGGCTTGCATGTTGCTCTGATGCAGACGCAGAGCTTCCAGACTGAGACAGCCTAGGAAGGGAGGCCTGGTGACTGGCCTCTGAACACCAGCCACGAGAATTCTAGAGATGACAAAGGTCTGAGCCCCCCGCGACCTGGGGGTGGTGCAGGGCCAGGCAGCGCTTTGTCCTGTTGTGCATGGAATCGCCGTGAGTTGGGGGGTGACTTGACAGCAGCTCACGACGACATCGTCCAGCATTGCACCACATTTCTGTGTGTCACTCGTTCCAGTGTCGACATGCCCTTCATTATGGACGTGGCGGGTGGTGAGGTGTCTCCTGCTGCTCCTTCACCTGTGTTCCCACCTCTGCGTGGGCCATGGTGCCAGGGGCCGCTGGTGCCTTTGAAGAGGGAGCCAAGGTTGCTTTTTGGGCTTAGCCCTCGTTCAGCAGTGTCTCGAGGTGGTGTCTGTCTGGGAATGATTCACAGCTCACACAGCCAGGAGCCCTGCGGTGCACAGAGGCTGGTCTGTGGCTTGAGCTTTGGGTGCTGATTTTCTCAGGGAGTCGCCTAGTAAGAGGCCAAGTCCAGTGTCCAGAACATCCGTCTGTGGACAGCTTGGGCTGTCTGCTGGGCGGGCTCACTGCTCCGTCTCTCTCTTCCTCTCTCCTTTCTTGCTCTTTGTCCTCCTTGTCTTTGCGTCTGTTTTCCACTGTCTAGGTTTACACTCTCTCTTCACTTCCTTCTTTCTTCCCTTTTTCTTCTCTTCCAGTCTTATTCTCTTTCTGTTCTCACTACGAGGGGTTTAAGGGTCTGCCTGAGACGGGAGCGGATTAGCCTTCGGGATGTCCCTGGCTCTGGTGTGAATGCTCCCACATTTATCTCTGTCAGGGAGCAACGAGTATGGATTTCCAGGGACTGCCCTGCTGAGATGAGTTCATGTGACTCTGAAAAGGGGACTTCCTGGGTGGCTCAAGAGTTTTTCCATGTTCTTCTGTAAGCCCAGAGATGGGTGGCCTTCAACAGAGAGCCCCGCTAAGCTTTCATCTCAGCCGCGGACGTTGTCTTCTTCTCTGATGACGAAGGTGGTTCTCTCTCTGGTTGCAGATAGAGGAGACTCGGCTCAACATCGACAAGATCGCGGAGAGCGTGGACGAGGCCAAGAAGCTCTACAGCATCATTCTCTCTGCCCCCATCCCAGAGCCAAGTGCGTGTGGAGTCACAGCAAGGCACCCAAAGAGGGCTCTGCCCTGGGGCCGGGCCTGTCTGTGAACAGCCGGGGCGTGCGCACGTTAAATGACACGCGTGTACACGCCATGCCCTCTCCCTGTTTCCTTTACCTTACCCAAGCTCACACTGCCCAGCCCCAAGTCAGCTCTCCTCTTCCTGGTCCCACTCGAACCATTTTGACAGACTTCCCTCAGCCTCCCCTCAGCCTCCCTGCTAGTCTCTCTCATGACTGGCAGTGACTCTTCCTGCTTCTCACAGGTGCTGTACTGTCTTGCCCCTGTGTCTTTACGCCTCTATTTCTCCTTCCTGAAATGCTTTGCAGCCCCCTTTTCAAGTCCTGCCCATCCTTCTCAGGAGCTCTGGTGGTGCAGTGGTTAAAGCATTTGGCGGCTAACCGCAAGGTCCGGGGTTCGAACTCACCAACTGCTCCATGGGAGAAAATGAGGCGGTCTGCTTCTGTGAACATTTACAGTGTTGGAAACCCAGTGGGGCAGTTCTCCTCTGTCCTGTAGGGTTGCTGAGTCAGAACTGACTCGATGGCAGTGGGTTTGGTTTATTTCTGGTTTATCCATCCTTTAAGACCCAGATCAAGTCCTGTTTTCTCCATGGTGTTCCAGAGGGTTCAGGTGCAGCAATCCCTCCCATGTCAGAACTCCTGCTAGCCTCACTGAGGCAAGCTCCCCCTAGCCCCCTAATTGTTCCACACTTTTGGAGTGGGGATTAGGGCTCATTTTAGGTTCCTTTATGACAGGTTTCAATCCAGATCTTGTTATTTCATTCCTGAAGTTCTTCAGAGGCTCCTTATTCCTTAAGGATTAAAGTTGAAACATTTAGCAGAACATTTGAAAACTGTCTTGGTCTTATTCCTGCCTGTCTCTCCATCCTTTTCTCCTGCCACACTCCCCCATCTTACCCTGACTTTAGCCGAGGAAACTCCAGTTGTTGTCTGAATGTTTCTTATCCCCTCTTTGACCCATTGTTGCTTTTCTCTCAGACCCCTGCTCTAAGTCTCCTTCTGTACCTGGCTAACTTTTGGTCATTCCCTGAGACTCAGTCCTACTGCAGTGTTTCCAGAAGCCTTTCCAGATCCCTCCAGGCTGTGCTCTGGGGCTGTCATAACCACTTGTGCACACCTTGACCAGAACACATACCTTCCTCCACACTGTGTATTAGAGTTGCTGATTTATGTGTCTCTTGTCTCCCCCTAGGCCCTAAACACCTTGAAAGCAGCATCTGTGTCTTCTCTCTGATTCCTTGGTTGCTAGCTCAGTGCCAAGCTTGTAGTGGGTGCCCTGGGGGTGGTCTCTGAATGAATGGCAGGAACTAATATTTCCTTTGCTCCATGAATCCTTGGACACCTTTGGGCTTGTAGGAGCTTAGGGAATAAGCTCAGGTTGGTGAGCCTAGCTCAGGATCTTTCCCAGAACCCTTTCCTCCCTTCTGAGCTAAAGCCCTCATTGTAAACCGGAGTATTTCTTCTAAAAACAAGGTTCTCAAACTTGTGTGTGCTGGAGAATTACAAAGGGCTTGTTCAAAAGGCAGCCTCTAGGGCTGCAGCCTTGGGTGTTTTTATTCTCTACGTTGGGGGTGAGGTGTCTGGGAAATGCCTTTGCAAAATGAAGCTTTGGGTGTGATTCTAACACCTGCTGTCTGGGGAACGGATATCAGAATGTGTGACTGGGCAATAGACATCAGATAGCTGAGAAATGCTGCTCTGGGGTATGGGTGCCTGAGAAAGCTCCCTTGCCTTCTTTCCTGACTGCTGTAGTGCACATAGCATTTAGTCTGCATGTTTCTAATGGACTCTGCCTGACTTTGTTGACCCAGAAACCAAGGATGACCTAGAGCAGCTCACGACTGAGATCAAGAAAAGGGCCAACAACGTCCGGAACAAGCTGAAGAGTAAGAAGGGGGCAAAGGGCACAACCCAGTCCCCACCCCATCTCGTACCCCCAGAGCCTGGCTCCCCTTGACACTCATCTTGGTGGAAGTGACACCACTTCTTCCACCTGGGCTCATGCTTGGGGCACTGTTCCTTGAGTGGCCTTTGTAGCCCCAGAAACCCGACTTCCCTTGAAGCTTGACTGTAGCTGAAAGAGTCCAAGGTTGAGACTTAAGAGATGAGAATTAAAATGTGTAGTTGTGTGACTTGGCCCATTAATGCCATCCCTTGACTTTTCTCTCACTGGTCCCCAGTTTCCCCAGCATCTTCATTCATCTGAACGGTACATTTGGTGAATGTGTGCCATTGGCCAGAGGTTGAAGGCGGCATCGTTCAGCCCAATGCATCATTTCTTTCAGCCAACCAAATCACAGAATTGTTTTCATAGGCGTAGAGGGTGGGCTCATCGGAGCAGCTTCCTGTAATAACAGTGATGGTGTGTGTGCCACTGAGCTGAGCACTTAGTTTGCATTCTCATTCAGTCTTCGCATGGGTATCAAGAGGGAGGTACTGTTATGATCCCACTGTACAAATGAGAGGGAGCAGGAACAGTAAGAGAGGTTAAATGACTTCCTCAGAGTCTAAAGCTGATAAGTGACACAACAAGGATTTGAACCCATCTCTTGGCAACCAAAACTCATGCTAAGATGCTGTTCAAAGACCTGGTAATAGGTAGGGTGAGGATTGGAAGTCCTGTGGCTCCCCTGGGAGCTGCTCTTTTGAGATTACACCCGTTTGTTGTTACAACTCCATGGACTGGGGGTGTGAGAAAGACAACAGGTCTGCATTGGGTGATGTGTTTCTTGGAAGAGAGGAGCAGGTGTGTCTAGAATCACCCTTTCCTCCTCTCCAGGCATGGAAAAACATATTGAAGAAGATGAGGTCCGGTCATCAGCAGACCTCCGGATACGGAAATCCCAGGTGCGACTTCCCTTGATCTAACAGTCACCTAGGAGCCCTGGTGGCATAGTGGTTAAAGCATTTGACTGCTAACCAAAAGGTTGGCAGTTTGAAGCCACCAGCTGCTGTACAGGAGAAAGATGAGGCAGTCTGCTTTCATAAAGATCACAACCGTGGAAGCCCTGTAGGGCAGTTCTCCTCTGTCCTGTGGGGCCACTATGAGTGGGAATTGACTGGATGGCAGTGGGCTTTTAACAATTACCTGGTCCGTTTTCCCCTCTCCCCTACCTCCCGCTAGAGTCTTTTTTTAAAATACAATTCTTATTTGGAATGAATTAAGTTGAAGAACTGGGAATGGGGAGCTCCTCTGGTCAAAGCAGGAGTAAGAGCTGGAGTTCAGCCCATCCCCCCACCTCTCCTGCCCCAGAGAGGCCCCTGGAGAACTAAGGGGCTCAGCCCAGCTTAAGCTGCTGATCTAGTATGTCTGCCTTGTTTCCCAGATGAGGGGAAGTCATGTGTCTCTAAAGATTTTTCAGTCATCAGGTGTCTGGTTTGGAGCTAGGTGCTTTGAGAGTTATCAGAGATGATAATCCTCCCCCTTAATGAGTTGACACGACAGTCAGGTGTTAGAAGGGAACTCTTACACAAGACCCAATAGGACAACAGTGTAAGAAGACCTTTAATCAAATGCATGGTGTTTCCAGTGTTAAAAGATCTCAGGAAGAATTGGGGGTTGCCCAATGAAGCTGAGCCTTTGATGTTGGCCAGAATGCCAACACAGACAGGTTCAGGGGTAGAGTGTCCTTTTTCTAAGACGTGTCAGGGCAGGATCGGGGTATGTGTGTGCTGGTGGCAGTGGTGGTGGTCAGCAGTAATGGGCAAACACTGAAGAGAACAGTCTGTCAGGAGGTAAAGTCTGCTTTGGGAGAATGGGAGTTGATTTTTCGGGTAGATAATGTAGTGCCACATTTTAGAGGTCTTTGAATACCAGCATAGAGAACTTGGATGTGACTAAATAGCGACAGGTGTCACTTCAGGCTGTAGGATTATCTGGAAGCCCTTTGACAGCTAGATCAGAGAGGGAGGAGTCAAGAGGCAAGGTTGGTCCCTAGAGAGGTTTTTGCAGTGATTTTGGTCTGAATTTGCACTGTGGTAATGAGATTAGAAACTATATAATATTGGTGGGTTTTGCGAAGGACAAATCAGCAGGGCTTGATGCTGAGAAGTAGGCAAGGAATAAAAATATTGATGAAGATTTGAACTTACCCATCTGGGGCGATGTTACGGCTGGTGAAAGAATCCATCTGGTTATAGACAGGAAAAGCTGGGGCGCTCCGTTAGGGTAAGAAGTCAAGGATCTCTGGCAGGTGTCTTGTGGGAGAGGAGTCTGGCAGTTTTAGAAACAAGCCAAGAGGGGTGCCAGCAAAATGCTAGCAGTCCATGTGGATGCAGGACTCTAGATCCACAGAGATGATTATCTCCTTTGGCGTTAAGAGTTCTGTGTGAGGTCAGCAGGGCAGGTAAATAGATACTGAAAGTATACTTGGAAAGCTCTCAAGGAAGCAAAGCTAGGAAACCAAAAAATTGAGTCTTATCCCTGGTCTTTGGGTTCCAAGCCAGTGTTGCCAGAGGCGAGGCTGTGTGGTGGCTGGGGAAGGGCTCTACAACGGTTAAGGACGTTGCTATCTCTTTCTTTTCGTGGGCTTATATTGTACACTGTTCCCACAGCACTCTGTCCTCTCCCGGAAGTTTGTGGAGGTGATGACCAAATACAATGAGGCTCAGGTAGACTTCCGTGAACGCAGCAAAGGGAGAATCCAGCGGCAGCTTGAAATTAGTAAGTGTTTGAAGTCTGGCGTGTGGCCCTCCACCTGTTCCTGCCATGTGGTTGTCCATCCCAAGCTGTGAGACGCAGGAGAACAGGACACAACCGTGTGTGGCTTCTGCCCAGGACAGACCTTTAACACTGACATAGCCGGGGTGCTGTCTTAGGCTGAAAGTTGACAGTGCTCATCAGGTCCATGTAGTTGTATTGTTGTGGGATCCAGCATTTCCTGATACATTAAGGGGAAACACTTGCTAAATAATTGCTCTTCTGTGGGCTACCCCATTCGGTCTTTTTTTCTACCTGTTTGACAGCAAAGAACATTTATGAAATGAAAGATGCAGTGATAGTCACTATGAGGAATAAAGAAATTAATAAAGCCACACTGGATAGCAATGAGTAAAGTGGGAAGCAGGGCCTGGCAGGGTGGAATGTGCTTGAAATGGGAGAAAACGATGAACAAACACATAATCAGGGCAACGCAGGCATGTATAGGAGTGGCAGGCTGTCCAGGGCCTGGGAAGAGGCTGCATCTGGTGCACCAGTGAAAGGTTAAGGTGGATTGAGGCAGGCTCGTGTAGGAACTGTCTGCTCCTAGGGTTGTTAGGCTCCGAGGCGTAGGGAACAGGGGTAGTGAACTTCTGAACCGGTAGTAATGCAATCAGATGTGTGCAGAGGAAGGTAATTGTTGACAGTATTCAGTAAGGACTGGATTCAGGGAGAAATCAGAAGAGTTAGGAGTTAATGGGGGAGTGTATAAAGACCATGGTCTTACAGTGAAGTCACCTTCTCTGTTAAGGACTACCAAGAGTCCAGTCCCCAAGCTGTGGAGATTAACCCAATCTCCACTTTCCCAATTCTCCATCATCTCTGACCCCCGCTTCTCCCTCCCCCTTTTTCTGCTAGGTTTGATGATTAGCTGTAATGTCTCACAGAGCTCAGGGACTGTACTTACGGTTATGTGCTCTATTAGGGAAAGGATACAACTTGAAATTAAAGGATATCAGTGTCAGGAGGAGGCACCCGGAAACTGGAAAAGTCCCAGAGCCAAGCTTCCGTTTTCCCAAGGAGAACATACAGGGGCAGACTATCCAGTAGTCTTACTTGTGCTTAATTTACTAACCTGTAGGGAACAGTTTCACATGGGATGTGGTGAAAACCATGTGAAACCGTTCCCTACAGATTAGTAAGTAAGCCTAAGTAATTCATGCTTACCTTGCTAACTGAATACTCTGTCCCTGTCAAGGACTGTGAATTTGGAAAGAGGCTTTGATTCTGTAGGGAAGTCCTGTGGGGTAGGGAGAGAGATGGATGCCAGCCATCCCTAGAAGCAGAATCTTTGATGTGGTGAAGAAATGTGAAATTGTTCCCCACAGATTAGTAGGTACCTGTGTTAACTGGGTACTCCGACACTGAGTGCATGTCTTCTCTCACCAACCGGGTCAGTTCTTGGAGCGGAAAAGCTCTCTGAGCCCCCATGTTGCAGGGCTTTGATCAGTCAGCCCATGGGCTCATCATCCGTTACCAGGTGGGCTTTCCATACAGTCTCAGATGTGGTCAATACTCCTTCATGCCTTAGGAATCCCCTAAGGCTCTTTCTCCAAAAGCCAAGGGTAAATGCCAAACATTGCACCACCCTCCCCCATAGTCCTAATTGCTAAGGAACTTCTGCAGTGGTGTACTTTGATCTATTTGACATGCTGCTTTGTTTTGTGGTAAAGCCGGCAAAAAGACAACAGATGAGGAGCTGGAGGAGATGTTGGAAAGTGGAAACCCTGCCATCTTCACTTCCGGGGTGAGTGTTGGTGGCTAGATGGTAGACCTCTGTCATAGAGAAAGGAGGGCAGTATGTGGAGCACCACGGGGTGTGAACATGTGAATGGGGGGCAAGGCGCTCTTCAGAGGGCTGTGTGAGGTCTGCAGCAGGGACATGGCCATTGGTGCAAGCTGGCGAAGGGCTATGGCAGGGGCACGGTGTTAGTGCAGGGGGCTGATGGTCTGTGTGTGAGGCTGTGGTGGGGACGTGCCGTCAGTGCAGGGTGCCCCATGGTCTGTGTGTGTGGCCTATGGCAGATCATCGACTCCCAGATTTCCAAGCAAGCCCTTAGTGAGATCGAGGGACGGCACAAGGACATTGTGAGGCTGGAGAGCAGCATCAAGGAGCTCCACGACATGTTTATGGACATCGCCATGCTGGTGGAGAATCAGGTAGCCGGCGGTGGGTCCCAGTGTGGGATGGGAGGCAAGGGATGCTCAGGCTCTCCTGAGAACGGTCGGGGTTGGCGGGGGAGACCGTGAACTGAGAAAACGGGAACGCAAGTGTGCTGGGTGGGTCAGGAGAACTCGTGAGGATTTGCATAATGGGGTAAGGGAATGCCAGCATTCCAGCAAGAATGCTGACCCTTTGGGCGAGCTCAGCCTTGCTGGTCTTGCCTGCCACTTGGGCTTCATAGCCATTGCTTGTTAGCGTGGGGATTGAGGTGCCCTGTCAGGTTCCTAGTTCCCTGTGGACTCAGGACCTCTGTTCTTTTTTTTTTTTTATTTGAGAAATGGTTCTGAATAATGATGCCTTAAAACAATGAACTATTTTACTGCTGACTTTGAAAAAACAAGTGATCTTGTTCCCAGTTCCCAGTGAAAAGTTAGGATTAACAGAAGTTTTCCTTTTTTTTTTTTTTTTTAACATTTCTGTTTTTCCTCTTGTATGTTTTTTCTAAAACTGGTTATAGTTTTTGCTAAGGAATAAGAGCAGGCAACACATGAATGAAGAATCAGCAGATTAGTATTTACAGAAAAGCTTGAGACACACATGGTGCTGGTTTGGCAGCTTGTCCTCAGGCATGCTTGCTCAGGGGCGTCACTCCAGATGGCCCGCGTATGGTGTTGGGTTCACAGAATCAGAGGATACAGTTAAAGACGTCAAAGGTCATGGTGTTGGATCACTATGATCATAAACTTCCAGTTGCTCTGCCGCATGGATAGGGTTGAAAACTAAGTAGGATCCTTTAGTTGGACCACAAGACCTAACTGCAGCCCAAGCACTTGACTGGTTGTTGGATCAGTGCCCTGCTAAGGGCCCAGGTGCTGTGCCCCCAGCCCCTTCTGGCCTCTGGGAACGTTATTCAAGTCCCTCCATCCCCACTCTTCTTTTTCTTCCACACTGCTTTGCCGAGGAACTGGTTTGAGATTCAGGGGATATGGGTAAGTGCCTTTCTCTGTTTACAGATTGCTAGAATGGTGGGTTGAGCTGGGTTGAGGAGACTCTAGGTATGTCGGGGAATTTTCATCCTAAAATGCCCAGGAATTAGCTGAAGGAGTGACCAGACTTCCCCATGTGGAAGATAAAGCTGGGAAATGGTTGGGAATCGTACAAAGACACCACCGTTTAGAGGGGAGGATATAGCCAAATAAATGGCTTGGGTAAACCCAACTTCTGTGACCTAGAAATGTCTCTTAGAAAATGCAGATGTTTACAACCTCAGATATTTTGAGTCCTTACTATGTGCCAGGAGTCCCTGGGTGGTGAAAATGGTTAAATGCTCAACTACAAACAAAAGTTGGTGCTTTGAACCCACCCGGAGACTTCTCAGAAAGCCTCTTGATCTGTTTCCAAAAGGTCCCAGCCTTGAAAGCCCCCTGGAGCAGTGCTACTCTGCACCCATGGTGTCAACTAGTTTTTGTACTGTGTGTCAGGTGCTGTTCTACGGTGGTGAACAGAATCGTTTTAGGCGGGAACGAACCCGATTCAGGTCTGGTTGGCCAGAAAGAGGCCAGCGTCCTGGTGATGCCCTAAAGCAGGTCACCCCATGAGAAGTGTGAGTGTGCCCCATGGGGGTGCTTCTGGCAGGCTGCTTTTCAAGGCTTCTGGCTGTTCCTCTGCACTGAAGGTTATAAGAAAGAGAATCCCTTTTCCACGTCAGCCAAGATCATCCTGGGATGGGTTCTGTTGGTTGTGACCACTGTCTGTTCTTTGCAGGGTGAGATGTTAGATAACATAGAGTTGAATGTTATGCACACAGTGGACCATGTGGAGAAGGCCCGGGATGAGACTAAGAAAGCGCTGAAATACCAGAGTCAGGCCCGCAAGGTGAGGCTCTCCCCGACCTTTTGAGAAGAGAGTCCATTTTGCTCGCCGTCTTTCGCTCTCTCCTCCCCCTTTGCATCTCTGTTTCTGCTGCTGCCACTTGCATCTGGGGAAAGGGAGCCATGATTGACCGTATTGAGAACAACATGGACCAGTCAGTGGGCTTCGTGGAGCGGGCTGTGGCGGACACCAAAAAGGCAGTCAAGTATCAGAGTGAAGCCCGGAGGGTGAGCGCCTCGGTCTCGGCTGCCTTTACTTGCCCCATCTGCTCTCTGGTCCTCCCCACTGTGCCCTGGAGCCCATCCTTCCCTCTCTGCCCTGGCCTCCTCCAAACCCCGCCATCAGCCGTTCCCGGAGACTAGCTGCCCTTCGGTCCCAGGTGTGCCTTGCATGGATCTGGCTCACATGCTTTTGACCCAGGCACCCACACCACAAAGACTGGTGTGTAGACTGGCTGATTCCCAGGTGGTATTATCAATTTTCTTCTGGACGTAGTTCATGAAGCTTTCAGGTGTCACACTTCTCTGCTCTTTAGAAACTTTCTCCTCATTATCTCTCACTAGCCCTAGCCCCTCTCTCTTTTTTCTCCTTGTTTTCTCTACCATGGACCCAGAACTGTCTGATTCAATTAGCACCAGAACTGTGCTAATTGCTATGTAAATATTTTATCTTATGGAGCACTTATTCTTTGTACTTTATAGATGACACAGTTGAGGGTCAGAGGTTAAGTACATGGCTTCAGTAAGTATAGGAGCTGGGATTCAAGTTCAGATCCCAGTCATACTCTTGCCCTGACACCACCTGCCCACCTTTCTGCTGCCCCTGCATCTCTTCTCGCTGACTGCGGGTACTCAGTTCTGGTGGCTTCTGCTGTTTGGACTGTTCTGGGACTCCCCCTCTTGGGTGCTGGTATTTCTGCTTTTGGTTCTTTGTTTTGCTTCTGCTTTACCGGTTGCTTATGTGGGCATCAGGGAGATGGGAAGTTATTGACACGGTGAATCCAGGCTGGTTCAGAACAGGACTATAACCATGCATTCTGATCTCCAGGCAGCATACTGGGTCTGACAGCTCGGAGCTGTGCTTTAGGGAGGAGGTGGTTAGTACATGTGAATTTAAGACTATCAAAAACTTCTTTGTGCTCCCTCTCGAAAGGGGAAAACTGGTCATTTTCTGTCTTGGCTAGTTGGTGCTTAGAGACCCCATGCTAGTTCCTCTCAGTGTAACTGCCCATGTGCATAGGACTTCAGTGTGAGTTGAGAGCTGAGAGAAACTCCCTATTTCCATCTGCTGGCATTGGTAGCAAAGGATTCAAGAAACAGACTATCCTAATAGGATGTCTTTAGTTAGAGATGTTGTAGGCTTATTTGGATCCATAGGATGCTTTTTATGTAGAGGAGAGAGGGGCTGTTTTTGGATATATATATGTGTGTGTATATGTGTGTGTGTGTGTGTGTGTGTGTGTGTGTAGGAGCTCTGGTAGCATAGTGCCTAAGGCATTTGACTGCTAACCAGAAGGCTGGCAGTTCAAACCCACCAGCCACTCCTTGG